AAAAGGGGCCAGCCCCAACAGTTTCCTCTCCTTTTCTCTCACCTCCCACCAGATGCACTTCGTACTTAGAAAAGGAACAAGAACGAGGCCCAGGACCCCAAAAGACGAGATTGCGGTGCTGGCCTTCCTGGGTGGAGGGGGGGGCCCCTCCCCCCAGGGGCTGCTTCTTAGGATCCAGAGACCCGGGATTCGAGCAAAACAGGAGGGGCCTGGGGAGGCCCCCTGTTTCTCAGTGACTTGTACACCCTCCGGGGCGCAGTGGGGGGGGGGGGCTCAGAGCCTCTCAGAGTCTCAGATGCAGAAGCTGCCTGCCCTCCCTACCCCCAGACCAGGAGAACACATTGGGGTCACCACCAGCTCCCCACAAGCCCCTCTCAAGCTCCCTCCCCTCCTGTTCCAGGCTGGATCCAAGAATGAGGGCTTCCAGCCGCTGGTGGAGGCCTTGTCTGCTATTCCCAGACCCAGTGAGTCAGGAAGTCCAGGAGGGGGAGCCTGGGGGTGATGGGAGGGGGGGGACTTGTTCCTCCAAAGGGGGCCGGGCTCTCAGAGGGAGGTGTGTGAGGGGGGATCAGCGGCTCGAGAACCCCCTCTTCCCCTCCACTGACAGCGCCCTTTCCCCACCCCCACCAGTGATGAGCACCGCAATGACCAAGAGCATCAGCCTGTTTGACCTGCTCCCTAAGCAGGAGAAACTGAGGCACTACTACCGCTACCTGGGCTCGCTCACCACGCCGGGCTGCGAGGAGAAGGTTGTCTGGACTGTGTTTGCGGAGCCCATTCAACTCCACATGGACCAGGTACACAGGTCCCGGCTGAGGGTGCAGCTTCCACTGCTCAGCTCCCCAAAACCATTTCTCTGGATCCCCCCAGAGTCCCCTGAGCTGGGGTGGGGCATCCCAGGGAGCTGAGGGCCTGCTGGCTGAATCCACAGACACTCCCTGCTGGAGACAGGCAAGAAAGGTCCCAGCCGTCCCATCTCTGGGTTCAGGGCTGGAGGGGAGAGGCTGCGGCGGGGGTGTCAGAAAAAGGCTGCACCCTGGAAAGGAGGTGGGAGTCGCCGGCTGAGGGCAGGGGACTTGTGTCCTGGGGAGAGGCGCCTGCGTGGGAGGGCCCGGCCGGCCGGTCAGGAGCAGCGGAGAGAGGGTCGGTGTAGCCACAGTGGGAAAACAGGTCGTTCCTTCCACAGACGGTCCTCCAGTCCCTATAACACACGAGCCTCTGGGGATCCAGCAGTGAGTCAGTCCCTGCCCTCCTGGTATTTTGTTCCCAGACGGTGGTTCTCAAAGAGTGGTCCCTGGGCCCATGGCATCTACATCGTCTGGGGACTTGCTGGACATTCAAATTCTCAGGCCTCACTCCTTACTGAATCAGAAAGTCTGGGGGTGCAGCCTGGCAGTGCAGTAAGCCCCCAGGTGACATGCATGCATGCGCAAGTCCCAGGACCATGGTTCTACGGTAACAGTAGTTGTGATCATGGGCCCTCAGAGCTGTCCACTTGGCTCAGGGAGGCTAATGGGAATTGAGCGCCACCACTGCCCAGCACTTTACATCGCATTCTTATCCACATGGAAACCTGAGAGGTAGGGCTCAGAGAGGCAAGGTGACCGGCCTGGGGTCACACAGCAGGGCGACCGGCTCCACCTGTCCCTGCCCCTCTGCAGATCCTTGCATTCTCTGAGAAGCTGTACTATGACAACAACCAGAAGATGACGGACAACGTCAGGCCCCTGCAACCCCGGGGGCAGCGCCCGGTGTTCAGGTCCCAGGCCCCCGGCCGACTGCTGCCCTTGCCGCTGCCCGCTCTGCTGGCCCCCACACTCACCTGCCTGGCGGCTGGCTTCCTCCGATGATGGCTCACCTCGGGACACTTTCCTCTGACCTCTGCCCTCAGAGGGCTTGGGGCTCCCTTCCTCTGCTTCCCAGGTTGGACTTGGATGATGATTGAAAGAAATACAGATATATTTTTAGAGAAACCTTTCTCAGGTCTGTTTTGAGCTCCCACAACTACCCCGGCCCCGTTCCCCTCAACCTACCCCAGTTCCCGGGCAGGGACCTTAGGACCTGGACATGCCTTCGGAGCAGGGACCGCGTGGGTGTGAACTCCCTGTCTGCACCCCACGTGGAGGGATGCAAAGGCGCCTGGGAGCTCCCGCACAGTGAAAGCACAGAGGCCATGCAGAGCCCACGGAGACCCCAGCCAGCGCCCTCTCCTCTGTGCCAGCGCCCTCTCCTCTGTGCCAGCGCCCTCTCCTCTGTGCCAGCGCCCTCTCCTCTGTGCCAGCGCCCTCTCCTCGGTGCTGGGCGCGGTGGGCGACAAGAGTTCATTCATTTTCCGAAATACTTCTTGAGTGTCTATGTTCTGGACACTGGGATGTGGCAGGGAAGGAGACAGATGAAAACGCCTGCCCTCCTGGAGTTCCCATCAATAAAACAGACACGTTGTACGACGTCTCAGAAGGCAGTGCGTGCCGTGGAGAAAGCCCGGGCAGGAAGGTGGGCAGGGAGGGCCTCATGGGGAGGGACATCCGGGGGACCTGAAGGAGGCCAGGGAGGCCATCTGGAGCCGCCCGTGTTCAGGCCAGAGGAGGAGGAGGAGGAGGAGGAGGATGGAGAAAAGAGATTGGGGGGGGGTGCGCAAGAGGGAGAGGCTGTCTGAGGGGGGGCCTCGAAGTGGGGGGGCCTTACAGTAGGATATTTTAGGGATGCTGGTGTTGGGCAAGAGAGACCGGGAGCCGCCAGAGGGTCTTTGCTTTGTGGAGCTGGGGCTGCAGGGTGAGGCGCACGGGGTGCAGGTGGGGTGCTGTAGTAGCCCAGGAGCTGATGGGTCAGAAAAGGACGGAGAGGAGAGGGAGTCACAGGTGAATCCAAGGGTCCCTGGCTTGCACTCGGGAGTTGTCAGTGAAGCCCTCCACCACTCTCCCCACCCCTCCCCTCCAGTGCGTCTCTAATGATTTT